CTACTCGTCACTGTCAATCAAGGTTTAGTAATTGCGTACCTGTCCAGCTTAAGGACATCCTTTTCAGCCCAGCCACAACATATAAACTGAGTACTGAATTGTCCAAAGGAAGTATTGGAGTGATGAAAATTAATGTCGCACGTACCAAGGCGATATTTAGATGGGATAATTCGGAAGGGATCATATCGTCTTCTTTTCATATTGCATTTCCCCTCTCCCTTTCTTTATTTCTTTGTTTTCTTTTTCTTTTGTGCTTTCCTGTCTTGTTCTTGGCCATTCGAGGGAGCCAGTGGTGGTGGAGGAGTGGGGTGGACATTTGCCGATCCAGTTGCTACACCACTTGGGAAAACTCTCTGGCATGCTACAACACTACAACGATACTTCTACCATTCTCTCTCTCTCTCTCTCTCTCTCTCTCTCCTTCCCCCCTCTCTCTCTCTCTGTTGCTCGTTTTGTTTTAAAAAAATATGATTAGAAATGTTGTTTTTTTTCTTTTTCAAATAGAATGTTTCTTACTCTCCATTTTTGACTTACCCTTCTCTCTACAAAATGAATGGACATGACCAATATAACTGGGGCAAAGGATCCCGACTCGTTAGACATTCTTCGCCCTACATGCAGTGCACTCTGTCTTGGTTTTCGCCCGGAATAATCTCCATCTGGGCAATAATAATGATTATTAAGCACGTCATCTATATGCTAATTCAACAGCTTATGAAACATATTCCACTGCTCTTCCCTAACTCTGAAGAGTGATGAAGGGATATATACTGAATATAGATGACTTCATGTAAAGGTATATACTGCATTTTCCACCATTACCCTGCACTCCGTTCCTACATTAAATTGATGATATTTCATGCCTTAAAAGGGCATCATGGAAGGTAAGGAGTATCAAGGGGCAGGAAAAGAAATATACATAAAAAATGATAAAAAATATATAATTGCAGTATCAATTAGCATATGTTGTTGAGTTAGAGCAGGCCATCTTTAAGTGGTATGATTACTCGCCTTACTCCAAAAAATTCTCCCACGATCATATTGGGTAAAGTAGCGTGTTGTCCTCTCAGATCCACCCCAGGGTCTTCTCGTCTTCTACAAAGATAAGGAGAAAAAAACTTCTCAAATGCCACAAGGTTATGTGAATATCAAATTATAATCTATATCTTACACAGACAATAGAGACAAGTTACGTAACGCCTTCTCACCAAGTAGCATTTTCTGGTCATCTCCTCACCAATCTGATTAGAATCCTTAGGGGGAATATGAATGAGAAATAGAAGATCTATTCCAGATAAGTATTAGAAAGATATTCCAAATCGTCTTCTTTGTTGCTTTTTGACAGCAGTTGAATGAAAGTAAAGCTTTTGAAACGGTTCATACCGTTTCTTTATTACAATCTCTCGCGTAATCAACCTGTAAAATTCCCATAATGGCAAATTGTTGTTTCTTCATGTAACAATCCGCATATAGTTATAAAAATAATCATACTTATCTTGATAGATTCATGATCCTTCTTCCCAGTGCCGTATTACCATCATGTCCTGTCACCTTTCACGATATCTACCTCTAGCAACCTCTCTCTCCCTCTCTCTCTGTCCATCTGTCTCCGTTTCTCTATCTCTCTCTGTCTCTGTCTCTCTCTCTCTCTCTCTCTCTCTCTCTCTCTCTCTCACACACACACACACACACACACACACACTCTCTCTCTCTCTCTCTCTCTCTCTCACCCTCTCACCTCTCTTTCTCTCTCTCTCTTCCTCCTCCCCTCGCCTTCTCTTCCCCTCCCTATCTCTCGACTTCTTTGTTTGACCTTGTGTTTAATCTCATTTTTATTTGTATTATTATAATTATATGCAAGATTTATTGAATAAAGAACAGATTTGTAATTTGTGTGTTTAATATAAGTTTTGGTTGGTAATTTTTAATCAGACAATGGTGCGCTTAGAAACACCAGTATTAAGCGCCTAATAAAACGTTGTGTATTATTATTATTATTATAGCTATCGGTATCTCATTCTGCAGACAATATATGTCTACCCCTCTCTTCTCCTTCCATCTCCATGCTCATATTATTTTGTCCCTCTTAGTTGTGTGTTATTTTTTTAATAATTTCTAGTTTTCCAAAACGTTTCTTGTTAATGATGTTGTTACACCTCATTACATCTCATGACTTATACACGCGACCATAATACACATGATTATACATGCATATCCTTTTTTAAATACGAAAGTATAAAGAATTGAAAATTTCACTGTTTGTCTCACAATTTTGTTTATATTAAAGATGACGTTTTCAAAGCATTATATCATTATAAAATCATAAAAGTCTCTCGTAATATTTCTATCCCCAACATGCGTTTGCAATGATGGTGTGTGATACCTGGAATGACAAAAGTATAATCTTTAAATCATGCCTGCAGATATCAATCATGACGGTGGATGAGACCAGAGACTAATCAAGACAATAGATTTCCAAATTAATTCATGTTGGATGAAGCATAAAATATTGGATCTACAAAAACTGATCAAAAAGATAAAGGAAGGCGAGGAAATAGTTATATGTATCAATGAAGCAATATGAAGAAGATTGGCAGTAGAACTCTTGAAGATCCAAGAAATGGGAGTACTAACCACTTGTCTGCTTTTTAATGTGATGCGTTGCCTAGCAACCCCAAAAGGCCTTGTCGGATTGCTAATGAGAAAAATTGTAACAATAAAGAGAAAGAAAAGGCAAATTGGGCGAACAAATCGCTAATTAGTAGCTCCCAAAGGCATATTGAAGCCAATTTTACCGCAGTCATAAAACTGACACCAGAGTCTTGGTGAAGTACCTCGAGCACATGATGTGCTATTCAAAAAGAAAATATTAATTCTTTTTCATAAACATATATTCAGTATATCAAAAGTCTAATACCCTGGTTTTAGAGGACTCTAATATCAAGTATCACAATGGCTAATTAATTAATGAACTCAATGCTTTTGAAGTGACATTGACCATTTTTTTCTTCTTCAGTTTCACCCATTTCCATGAATTTACTTGTATACTCATCTATTTACATGATCCTGTTTTCCCTTCTATATCTTTTCAAATCAATCTTTTTTCAACTCTTTTATGCGCTATTTGCATCAGGTTTTGTTTTGTTTATTTTTCGACCCTCTCTTCCATCTCCTTTTCTATTATACCTTTAATAACCTATTATACTTCTTTTCCCATCATGTTGTGGGTTGAGGTTTGTGTGGGAGGGGAAGGGGGGGTGGTAGTTTTCTCCATTTCTACAACATCTCTCCTTACCATTTTTCAAAAAAGTTATCTTTGATTTATAAAAATTCAATTAAACATGTAGTTTGCATTTCCATTCATCCGTCATTAACAAATATCTCAGTATACCTATACCATTTTAAATTTGTCTTAATCCTTGCATAAAATCATCATCATTTGTTGGAAAATATAGTTATTTTTTCACACATAAGAGAAATGTTTACTTGTTATAATTCTGCGCGCTCGCTCTCTCTCTCTCTCTCTCTCTCTCTCTCTCTCTCTCTCTCTCTCTCTCCCTCTCTCTCCTTTTAAAGGCCGTTTCAATATCATAACCCGAAAATATTACAGAAACTTTTACCAAAGTGAAGCTATGTAACATTATAAAAACTCGCTATTTTTGTTGGTTTATTTGTTCTCTTTTTTCAAAGTTTTTAGTTGTATTATGATAATATATTTGCGATTAGGAGAGAATATGAAATATTACTATCCAAGTCAACATTTCGGTCCATGCAATATAGGAAAGATCTTTCTCGATATTAGTAGGTCTACTCTACGGCTAAGATAGCCTCCATAATATTCTCAACATCAAGATTATAAGACCACGTATGATTGATTCCTTGTCGGAAAAATGGAAGGAGACGGGGGACGAGAAACTAGGCGTTAGTTTTACTTGGCCAAGAAGTATTGTGGTTGATAAAACCATCGTTGTCACATAATTATGAAAAGGCAGTTAATATTTCTTGATTTGACACTGGGTGTGTGGCGTGGCTTGCAAGTAGAACATAGTGACTGACCCATGGCTGCATTCAGACATTGCGAGCCAGCCTGCGAGGCCAGATAAATCAACTATTATCATCATTATCGAGATGGTTATTAAAGATAGTCAAGACAGGGGGTCATTTTTCGTAAAGCTAAAATAAATCCCTTCTAAATTTCCGACATTTATGTCCGGTGTTGCCTAGCAACCGATGACCTTTCTATGTTTACCGATGACGAGCGGCGGCCATTTGCAACAGAATTTATGATGAAAACATTTTTTTATTAAAAATCTTCATATTCCTATGTTCACACTATACTTTCAAGGCTTATTTTGTCTGTCTGTCTGTCTCTCCCTTCTTCCATGTCGTTGGTTATATTTAGATTCACCTTCATTTTCCTCCTTCACTTCACCCTCTATTTTCTCTATCACGCACTTCTCTCTCTCTCCCCCTCTCTCTAACATCTTTCCGAGTATGTGTCTCTGACTCTCTTTCTCTCTAACACAAACACCTCTTTCTCATTATGTGTTTCCCCTTCTCCTTCTCTCTCTCGCTCTTTCTCTATCTCCCTCTCACAATTCTTTCTGATTCTGACTCTCTCCCCTCTTTGAATCTCGGTCTCTGACTCTCTCTCTCTCTCTCTCTCTCTCTCTCTTCTCTTACCCATTGTGTGCTTCTTCATTTCCTTTTCCCCCTCCTCTATCTTTCTCTGTCTCTCTTTATTCTCCCTCCCCTATCTCTGTTACTCTATCACTCCGTCCAAGGGAACACACATACCTTTCATTTAAATTACTCTTTCGTTTCCAACTGAAAGATGGATATTATGATAAAAACAATGAAGAGGCAGAGAACAATATTGGAGAATTAGAAGGGAAAAAAAGAGGGGGGGGGGGGGCAAAAGTGGATATGGAAATGGTATGAAACCCAATAACTTCACTCTTAAAATGCTTCCAAGGAAAAAATGCATACAAATAATATAGTCAGGTTAATAGATTACTTTATTATATGATACATCCATTTGTGTTTTCTATTCTTACTGCTCTACAAGTTTTGTACACAAAATAAGCAAGAGCAATGTACTCTCGATACAATGAACTACATTGAAATCTGAATTTTCTTGTCATAACATAGCCTTCCTAAACTCACTAACTACACAATAATTGAGTTTTCAATACTTTTTACACCTAAGTCGACTGAAAAATATTTTTTGACTCTTAATGTAGATGTACTGCTCTACACATATAAGTTTTATGATCAACTATCATTTCCTTTTGAGGGAACATAGTCTGTCTGGTCATAGCCGTTAGGGTGTTCACATTAGCACAAAGTTAATGCCCTTTCGGCTTTCACCCTAAAATAAAACACATATTCACTTCTATTTAAATACAGAGCTAAAACAGATATTGGAATAGTATTCTTGCTTCAATAAACTTTATCTTTTCCATTCTATTTTACTTTCCATATACTCTACAGGAGTTAGATAATATTGCACAACATTTATAGTGAGAGCAATAATGATGACAAATAAAAATATCTGACAAATATTTAGACCTATAACATTGTGTACAGAGTGCAAATTGTTGGTATTTCAAATGAAAAGTTGCCCCCCCCCCCATTATGCTCCTTTATATACTTTATAAAAACAAACATACAGTGTACAAGATTTATTCATTGTACTAAACTTGGTAAATTATCTTATCAACACACCCAATAAAATATAGGGTATCATTAGATTTCAGGAGCAAAATCAAGAATTAAAAGAGAATAAAAAGTTATTATAATCACAATAGAAGGAAAGTTACAGAATCTTCTTTCATTTCAGCAAAATAGAAAGGAAAGAAAAAATATTCATACCTATGGAATTTAAAATGAATACCAGTCTCTTGAGCAGCAAACCATATTTTATGTACATAGCAAGGAAATTTCCTCACATAAGCCTGTAACAAAGTGTGGAACTGGCAAGCTTATACATGACATAAGTTTTTTTTTAGTCTCAGGCCTTCACAGCATAGGTCTTTAGCCCAAGACCTACACTGCATGGGTCTGGTCTAGATGTACATGGTATAGGTCTACAGTCTCAGGCCTGCACTACATAGGTACATGGACTGGTACTTACATCGCATACATGTAGATATTGGTCTAAGGCCTGCACTGCATAGGTCGTTGTCCACAGCCTACACTGCACAGGTCTTTGACATGGTCTCACACCCACACTGCGTAGGTCTATGGTCTCAGGACTACACTGTCTACATGTACATGTTGGTCTTAGCTCTTCCCTGTCCTAGTCTCAAGACTTCTCTACTGATTTGGTCTTGGTGGACTTCTTGAGATGATGGTAGTTGGGCAGAATCTTCATCAGGAAGTCTAGCTGAAGCGTCTGAGCCTGCAGGAATAGAAGAGAGACAGTGAGAGAGTGATACACGAGACGTTGTCATCTTATACGGAGAGACAGGCTGGATGATACACATATAACTATGTGCAGATGTAGAGAGAAGGGGAGATGGATGGATATAGAGAGCGATAGAGAAAGTGAACCAGACAAAAAGATAGTGAGAGAGAGATGTAGAATTAGTGAAAGGGAAAGAAATCATGTTCAAAAGGGAAAAAGAGGGGGAGGGGTGGAAAAGAAAGGGAAAAGAAAGGGGAGAGAGGCAGAGAGATGATGCGATTGGTGATGTGTGATGATATGATCTGACAATGGAGACTATAAATATAGTGAACATGAATAACAAAGAGATTCTAAGAGAAAGGAAGTGTGTGTGTATGTGTGTGCATTACGAGAGAGAGAGAGAGAGAGAGAGGATGGGCTCGGACAAACATGCAAAGACAGAGTAAAAGGGGAAAGAAAATGAGGGGATAGATTACCTGCAACTGCAAGTGACATAGACCCAAGAAAATATACATACTCTAGATAGACATAGATGGAGGCATGAAATCACTAAGGACTCATTGAAATATATATCACCTCTCATGTGTAGACAACAATAAACAGAATTTACAAAACAATAATTTCTCACATGCAAAATTAGATGAGAGCAGAACAGTTTTAGAAGCTCAAGAATCAACTTAACATAACTCACATCTAATCTGTTTGCAAACAGAATTAAGAGAAACTATATACAGTTCTGCCTACTCCTGTTTGCAAACCAAGTTATTGTTTATACTTTCATTGTTTTGCTACCACTGTGTACTTGAATATATTGTTGTAATTATTGGTTGTATTATTATTGTTACTGTAAATCTCATTTTTATTAACGTAATATTTTTCTTTCATACATGGAATGAGAAAAGGCTAACTGACCGGATACATCTTAATTATATTTTTAAAATATACAAAACAAGGGGGCTAAAGTCCATTTTCTTATCATATAATTTTCTGCAGGCAACATTCCATCAATTTTAACCCAGTTTTTGCTTTTCCATTTATGTTCATCTAACACTAAATATAACAAATGTCTTTTTTCTTCATCTTTCTTCATCATGAAAGTGGAAAAGGGTACACCAGACATTGAATGTTACTTATCTCTCTCATTTCATCTATCATGCAATGGAATCTACTATTACTGCACAATTATTATAACTGCTTTGTATGGCCTCTTTTAAAGTATGAATATTAACATTATAAGTGCATTTCATCCGAAATATTTGGCAACATTTTGCATTTATAACACAGTATGTCTCCCTGTGGATTAGGCAGTTCAGGTTCAAGAATTACCCCCAACACAACAATTTACACCCATTTTCTCCTCTCTCACCCGTGGATGCCATCATTCCTACACATATAATTACTCAAATTCACTACCTTTTGAGAAGGATATTGAAGACAAAGTCACCCAATCCCCTTAAATACAACGGCCATTCCACTCTATATACCCTTTGTGACATATGAGGAAGTGAACAAAAACAAAATTGGGGAAATTACGCTTACGAGGAAACGTTGGAAGATGGTACAATGAGACAGTGGAGAGTGATTATACTAGAAAGTGAAATGGCACATACGAGAGTAAAACTCCTATTAATAAGCATCATAATTCATCACCCTTTGTCTCTACTAAGACCATCTTAGTAGATCTAGATATATATATCAAAGAGCAAATAATATATAGCATAGTTTAAGAGCTTGTTTTGTTGTCACCATGGCTAGGAAATGTTTTGAAAGCTACAATACTTACACTGTACATAACAAGATGAAGGGAGCTGAAGTTGAATAGGACTAGATTTAACACAAGCTTGGACTGATGCAACACAAATGTACATGCACTTTTTTCAAAATGATCCCCCCCCCCCAAAAAAAAAAAAAAAAAAAAAAAAAAAATATATATATATATATATATATATATATATACAGTACACACACCTGTAGTCAATGAACATACATGTACATGTTTGTGACACTTTAAAAAAAAAGACTTTAGACTTACTGACCAGTACAACACACAGAAATTCCCAACATTGAGTTATATGCCAAAAGGGCAAATTTATTTTTCAAAATACACAAAAGAGGTATACATTTCAATTATTTGCATATCTTTGCAACATTTGTGTGTAGTAAGTGGAAGTCTGGTGCAGTGGCATGGGCACAATATCAGCAAGTATAGGATTATATGCATGGCTCTTGTTTTCCAGCACAACACAATAAATCCAATTCACTTCTCCAAAACCAAGTGATAAAAATGGTCAGTTTGTCATAGAATAAGACAAGTGGAATGAGTGAAATGTGTTTTCCCAGTTTGCTTTAATATGGGTCTGTTAGGAGCCAGAAGGGCATTAACTCCTATACTTTAACACGTCACAGTTAACATCCTTCTGGCTCCAAATAGAAGATATAATGCTACATAATTGCTGGGCGGCTAGCAATTACCACCTGCTAATAGAATTTGTCGCTGTTTTCACGAAGTGACGGTAGTGAAAAAAGATTGCATTCACTTTGCGTTACGATTTTCCTCACTACCGTCACTTTGTGAAAATAGGGACGAATTTGTACTCACACCAGGCTTCAAATGTACTAAGAAACAACAATTACAGCCTATGCAAACATCCAGTAGAGTTAGTGTTATAAAAAAGCTTAATATAATACATGTACAAACAGACTGAAAGATATATACACAAATGCATTTAGAATGAATGCAAGATGTTTGTGTTGTTGACTTTTAAAAAATCAAATAAAAAAAAAAAAGTCAAACCTCTCTATAAAGCCCAACCAGGTTAAAAAGAGGAAAAATTGGCCACTGAAGACAGTTAGCCTTTCTATTATGATACAAACATTTCTTCCTAGAGGGAGAGAGATACAGAGACAGAGAGACAGAGAGAGAGAGCGATAGACAGAGGGAGAGAGAGACAGAGAGACAGAGAGAGAGATCGAGAGAGAAAGAGAGAGAGACGGACAGAGACAGAGACAGAGACAGAGAGAGAGAGAGAGAGAGAGAGAGAGAGAAAAGGGGGATTAAGTCACAGAAGGAACTTTATGTATTCCATACACTGTATATAAACAAATTTTGTTTAGTGTTTATTTTTTAATCACTTTTCTTTTCACACTGGAAAATCATTTTATGTCATATTAAATAACAGAAACAATGAGACAAACGAAGGAGCAAGAACATGGAGACAAATATTATGATGAATTTTCATTGAAAACTGAAATAGGATTGAAATTCAGGGCCATTCCTCACAAGCAATTGCTTTTCTTTTGGTCCTTCACATATTCCATACTGTGTATTTTGTATTTTATTTGTATGTTTTTATGATTATGGTTAAATAACATAATCTTGAATCTTGAAGTTCGTATCTCTCTTGAAGAGAAAGTGAAAGAGTACTTCATAGACTGAATGGATCCTTATATTTAATAGGATTTCTTCTCAAGAGCTATATCTCATGTTTTTATTCAATTTTTTTAAGACCATGACGAAAATCATCACGAAAATATAGTCTGTTAAAGATACTATGTCCCTTTTGCAGCCAACTTCGAATTCTGTAGAACTTTGCAGGAGTTATGAATATGTCATGCATGTCCTATCTGTGAAATTTAAACATTAGCAGTGTCCTAATATTTAAATTATGCAAGGAAACCTGTATACTTGCTAGACTTCACTGTCAGACACTATTGAGTGACTGACTGGCTTTTTTCTTCTTTATTACATACATAAGATGAGCTGTAAAGGGTACATGGGCATTTGTCTACGTCAATAACCCACTTCTTGTAATGGCCAAAATTAAACTGATTGAATCTTTGCACAGCATAAAACTACGGCCATTCGGTGCAATGGTCTGAAAATCAGAATATTACTTACTGGCTCTATAGCTCTTAAGTCGATTCGACAACTAATAGTCGTTATTTTCCCACTTAAAGACATTTTCAAGCCCCCCTTTTTTTAGGGAAGTTCTAAATTAGTATTATCTTTCAAATGCCGTTGGAATTTAACCTTTTCATTTTTTTGGCCTGCAAATGGGACATAGTACCTTTAAGAGCCGTAAGGGAATTAAAGTGTACCAATCACCTTAAAATAAAACTAATTTCAACTCAAGTTTGACTTGGGTTCCGTCCGTGCCTAAGTAACATTTGAAGCTTATAGTTTTACTACAGTATAGCAACATGGAACCCCTTACATCCAAAGCAAAACATGTTTTAGTGATTGGGTCACTTTAAATCTACATATTTTTGTGTTACAGCCTTTCTATCTCAAGAGGTAGAGGATTTCTGTAAAATTGAAAACTGTAATTAATCAGAGGCCTTGGTCTTATCATGGATGAAACTTGAGGACAGAAACTGAAAAAAAATCATCAGGCTATCAGACATAAGATGTAAGGCCATATTTAATTTTAGTTATGATTGCCACTTAGCTTCAAAACACTTGAAGAACTAAATGTACAGTGTTCATAAAAATGTATAAACCTGCTGCATCTACCATAAATATATTTATCCTTATATTTATTACCCAAGGTAGCCTCATCAGCATCAATGCTGTTCTCCCAGAAGGGCCCTGTAATTTGAATAACCACTTTGCCAGGTACTCATTTACAGTCATTCACTGACGAACAAAAACAATACCGTGTGTGTGTGTCAAATGTAAGATATTTTCAAAGATAAGGCTATTTTATCTGCAATAAAATACCATTTTCTTTCTTGCAACTACCGTTTTCTAAAATGTATCATAAAACTGGTAAACACTTGTGAAATAATTTAAACTTATTTTCAATATTTGAAATGACTAAATGCAGCCTCAATGTCATATTATGTACCAGTAGAAGGGACTAAAAAGTGTCATTCTATATTTTGGATCATTTAAAAACATTATAACTAAAGCTATCATTTACAATACAATTAACAGTAGCATTTAAATTGTTTTAGCAACAATAAAACATAAAAAGTAAATACTACACACACAG